CTGGCCGCCACCAGCCTGAGTGCACGCCCCTGCACCTGGCCGCCACCAGCCTGAGTGCACGCCCCTGCACCTGGCCGCCACCAGCCTGAGTGCACACCCCTACACCTGGCTGCCTGCGGCTCTCCTCGCATCAGAGCAAGTGGTTCAGGTTGTTCCCACCCCCCCCCTTCCCACGGTGGTGTATATGGCCTCCAGTCAACACCGTCCTGAACTTGTCCTGGGATACTCCTCCCTGGGTCGCTGGGGCTTAGGCCCCGGGATCCCCAGGGACCCCGTTTGTCCGGGTCTGCTGGTGGCCGTGTGATGGCTGGGGCACTCTAACAACTTGTATTTTTTTTTCTTTTTTTTTATTTTCCTAGAGCTGCTGGGGTTTTACACTCGGGGCCTTTGGCTTTACTAGGCAAATGCTTTACCACTCAAGTTGTATTCCCAATCTTTTTACTTCTAGTTTTGTTTTTCAGGCTGAGCCTCAAAGAAACTGGCTTCAGACCATGAGCCTCCTACCTATGCCTCCTTTGTAGCTGGATTACAGGCGTGTGCTACCGCCCCTGGCCCTCAGTTGTCAAGTGTGGATTGAGTGGCCTCTGCTCCTTTCTGCCTTGGCTTTCCCGAGCAGTGGGGCTGGCGGGGGAGGGTTGAGCACGTGGGAGCACCAAGGCCCCCTCCCCCATCCAAGCTGCCGAAAAGTGAGAAGCCCCAGGCGAGGCTGCCTGGCTCCCTGCCTGCCTGGCCAGGGGCTGGGAGGGCGGGGCGGGGCCCGAGGGGCTCAGGAGTCATGAGCCCACGGAGGCCCCGCCCGGCCCGGCCGCAGCTTCTGCACTCCCTGTGGGCTCGGCCTGGACGTGCTTCTAACGCCGTCCAGCTTCCAGCCCCTTCTCCTGGGCTCTCCTCCCAGGCCCCTGTGGGGAGCCTTTCTTCCGCACCCCCTCTTTCTCAGCGTCCGCATGATGCCCGCCCAGCTCAGCCAAGCCTTGCGTCCACCCGCTCCCAGTGTCCCCACACTTCTGGCCCCGGTCTTGTGCTGCTCCTCCGCTGCTCTGTGGTGGCTGCAGGCGCGCCCCGGCTCCCCGCAGCCCCGGCGCGTGCTGATGCCTCCTTTCCCTCCCCACCCCGCCCCTAGAAGGAGCAGCTGCACTCCAAGGGCCGTCCGTTCCGCGGCATGTCGGAGGAGGAGGTGTTCACCGAGGTGGCCAACCTCTTCCGTGGCCAGGAGGACCTGCTCTCCGAGTTCGGCCAGTTCCTGCCCGAGGCCAAGCGCTCCCTGGTGAGTGAGCACTGCCCGGTGAGTGAGCGCGGGCTTGGCAGGGGGGAACGGGACCCCCCACTCGGGGTGCGGGCGGCCAGATTGGCCCTGGCCAGGTCCTCTGGGCCTCTCTGCTTTAGAGGCCCCTGGGGTGGGGCTGGGGTCCCACCACCCCGTGCCCACTCTCGAGAGCCCGCCTGTGCATAGCCGGCTGTGGGAGGTGCAGGAGGAGCTGGGGGTGGGGGTGGGGTGCAGAGGTGGGTGAGGAGGGGCTGGGCTGGGAAGGTCTGGGGCCCACACTGACCCCACTTTCTCCCCCAGCTGTGGCCTGAGACCGGCGGAGGCTGCTTTTTCCTTTTGGTTCTCATTTTTGTTTTCTGGATCAGCAGAAGGCTCTTTTGAAAACTTGACATGAAATCTGTGTCAACATAAAGTTCACATGTTAAAGCGCACCCTTGAGTTGCATTACTACACCCCATGTTGCGCAGCCGGCACCTCTTAACTTCCCTTTCAGCCCCTAGACCCCCCCTGAAAGGAGGCCCGTCCCCGGAGCAGCCCCTCCCAGCCCCCAGCCGCCGTGGCCTGCCTCCTGCCCTCACTTTCCCTCGTGGGGTCTCTGTGTTTTTCAGTGTCACATTTCCCTGTCTGCGTTCTTGGGTTGAGTGTTCTACTTCCCATGGCTGAGTTTGGTTTCCGCGTGTGCGTGTGTATGTGTGTGTAAATGAACCCTGGGGCTTGAACTCAGGACCTGAGCCCTTCCCCTGAGCTTTGTTGATCAAGGCTAATACTCTACCACTTGCGCCACAGCTCCACTTCTGGCTTTTGGGTTGTTAATTGGAGATTGTCTCGTGGGCTTTACTACCCAGGCTGGATTCCAGTGGTGATCCTCAGGTCTCGGCCTCCTGAGCAGCTGATCTGATGGGCGCCCTGGCGCTGGCTCCCACGTGCGGCCGGTTATCCGTGCACGTGCGGCCGGCTATCCGTGCACGTGGTGTGAAGAAGGATGACTCCATGCTTGCTTTATTGCAAGTCTGCTCGCTGGCCGCTGTGGGATCTGGGCAGCGTTGTGTGGTCTGTGAAGTAGTTCCCAGGCCGCCCCTCCCAGCAGCGCCCCGGTGCCCTCTCCAGGCTCCTGTCCTCCCAGGTGGCGTGGGTGGGGGCGGTGCTCCTCCTCGCACAGGCTCTCGGGGTGGGATCCCCTGCTGAGGCCAGCTGGCTGCGTCTGAACCACCCTGGGAGACACACAGCCTGTCCCTCGCCCGTCCCGTCTACCGGGAGCCTTGGATCGCCCCGATGTGCGCCATTGCCCACATCTCCCTGCCAAACTGGGGTCCCCACAAGCTGTTGGCTTGCAGCAGTCCTGTGGCTCTGGTTTGGGCCTGTGTGGAAGGCCGCTGTGCCCCTGGGGGCTGGCCTGTGCCCCTGGGGGCTGGCCTGTGCCCCTGGGGGCTGGCCTGTGCCCCTGGGGGCTGGCCTGTGCCCCTGGGGCTGGCCTGTGCCCGAGGCAGAGCCCTTGCAATGTCCCGCGGTTGCCTCCGCAGCGTCTCCCCGCGCAGCCCAGGCTGCCCTGGGTCTCCTCATCCTACCGTGGCTGCTGAGATTACAGGGCTGCCTGTCAGGCTGGAGACTGAATTTCAGTGACGATCCTTAGTTGGATTTTTGCGGGGTAGGCGTTGGGGTTTTGGTGAGGTGAGGCTGGTTCCCTAGATGAGGGCAGGGTGTCTCGGGGGTGTCCGCAAGCAGACCCCTGTGGTGGCCCACTCAGCTTCCCTAGCTGCTGCGCCCTGCACCTGGGCAGCTGCCGGGCCGCTCTGCCGGCGGCTGGGCTGTGGCCACAGGGTCAGAAGGCCACTGCAGGAGCCACAGCTTTCCCCCGGCGCTGGGGTGGGAGTGGCAGGGATGCTGGACCCTGGGGTGTTGTCCTGGTGTAGGGGAGCCCCCTTTGAGTGTCTTGTCTGCCTGAGTGCTGTGTCACTGTTTTGTCTGTCTCGTGTGACTAGGGGCAACAGGGGTGTCACCCCTGCCTTTGGTGACACTGCCTGTGGCCACTGTGGGGGGGGGCGGGGCCCCGGGCCGCATGTCAGCACACACTTGCGACATGGGGGAGGGTCGCCACACTGGGCATCGGGCCGCCCATGGGCCCCTTCCTCCTGAGGCCCCTTCTAGGTCATCTCCCTGTGCCCATGTCACCTACGTCCTGTGGGTGGGCCCCGTTCTCTGCTGGGGGAGTGGTCTGGGGCCAGTTTGCCCCATTGCAGGCTGCCTGGCTCCAGGGCCACCCTACCCTGGTCCCCACAGGGAGGGGGGACACCTGCATCCTTGTACACTCCCCCAAGCAGCACCCAGGGTGGGGCTTGGGAGGGGCATTCCACAGGCCTCCGCTGGAGATGGGGTGGTAGGTGGGGTGCGGCTGGCCTTGCCACCCTGCCCAGGATCCTGCCCCTCCTGAGGGCCACTGACCCAAAAGCCATGCCAGACTCCGGCCTGGGCAGCCCCTTCCCAGAATCCCATGTGCAAGCTGCGCCCTCTGCATAGGCCCCGCCCTGTACAGCCCCCTCCCCACAGTCAGCGTGGGCCTGGGCTGGGGGGCAGCTGGGGACACAGGTGGCCCACATGCACTGGGGCTTCAACCCATCCCAGCAGTCAGACCCCAGCCAACTGGAGTGGGGAGCCCCAGGGCAGCACCCCCCCCACTAGGGGCGGTCCCCACCTCAGGGAGTCAACCACCCCGGGGATGGAGCTCCTCACTAGACCCCCCCCCCTCCCGGGCCAGGCACCCGCCACGCGGGTTCTGCACATGGTATGTTGGACACATTCTAGAGCAGGGCAGCGGTGGAGCTGTGGTGTGCCCATGCAGGCCCCGCCCAGCAGCACTCCTGTGGAGGGGGGAATCGAACAAGCCGCTCTCACCTGCCACCTGCTGCAGCCCAGCTTTGCCCTGGAGAGTGGGAGCGTGTCTGGGTTCCGGGCCGCGCTCACACAGGGAAGGGCTGGCAGTGGCCAGCACAGACAGCTAAGTCCAGCTGGAAAAGCACGCCAAACCACAGGAGACCCTGGGTGCTTCCTGTGCCTGGGCCCAGCCGCCGGCCGCATGGTGCCTGCAGCTGCAGGGCCTTGACCACACAGGTGAAGGGGTTGCAGGCGGAGGTGCTAAGCTGGCCTCACCCTGGAGCAAGGGGTCCCCATCCTCACCTGTCCCTCTTCATGTTTGAAGACCTATAAAAAGGAATTCAGCTGAGGAATGGCTCAATGGGTACCCATTCTGCAGTGACAGTTCTTGGAATAGCTTTGAGCCTTTCATGAATTAAGTTATTAAGTGCAACTTTGTGAGGAGGGCGTGCTGCGCGGCCCAGGCTGGCCTCTGAGCCCGTGCTGGGATCAGGCACGCATCTGCTCGTCCAGCTATTACTTTTTCTCTTTTTTTTGGGGGGGGTCATGAGGCTTGAACTCTGGACCTGGGCGCTGTCCCTCAGCTCTCCAGCTCAAGGCGAGCCCTCTACCAGTTGAGCCACAGCGCCACTTCCAGTTTGCTGGTGGTTTATTGGAGATGAGAGTCTCACGGCCTTTCCTGCCTGGACTGGCTTTGAACCGCGATCCTCAGATCTCAGTCTCCTGAGTAGCTAGGATGACAGGAGTGAGCCCCCAATGCCTGGCTGTAACTTTCTTTTAAGAGACAAAAGTCTTCATCTAGGCCCAAAGTCTTCCTTACTTTTTATTCCCCCAGATAGCCAAAAGTGGAATTTCTCTCCAAGAATAGGTTCTCTAGAACCAAATTTCAGCATCTTTCCAAGGAAACTGGTTACAGTTCAGCACACTGTGTCCGTGGACGTGTGTTCTCGATCCCTCGAAGTTAGAGCACCAGATGCCCCAGGAGATGAACTGATTGCACCTCGTGGTGGTGTGTTCGTTCACCTGTGCACTGTTACCATCATTACTGTTCACGCTGTCCGCTGGCAAGGCCAGGGGCTGGGATGGACATCCCAAGGAAAGTAGACTTCCCTCCTCCCTCAGCTCCCTGTGACTCAGAGAAAAAGGCTACTTCTTTCCAGAAGTTTCCTTTGTCCAGTTGAATTTTATCCTTTGCCAAAAAAATAAAAAGTGCACTGCCCTACCCCTTGGTCAGCGCTTGGCACCGGGCGGGGCTGTCGGCTCCGATCTGTCCACTTAGTGCTGCGGAGGTGGCACGTGCCGTCTGTCTTGTTCGGTATGCCACCGCTCCACAGCAGCCGCGTGTGCTTCATGTGTGCGTCTGTCCAGGTCCCCCTGGTGGCCTGGGAGCAGGGATTACAGCTGGGGACCCCATTTCGGGGTGTTCCCCAGAGGTACTCTGCTTCAAATGAGCATTGCTGACAGACCATGATACAGAGATAAGCCCCAAACCAGCTAGGATGCACTTCCACCCCCCAGACGTGCACTGTTCTGCCAAAGAATCCAAACCCTGGCCTGCAAGGCACCTGCACCTGGAGCCTGGAGGGCACCGGCTTGCTGCACCTGCTGCCTTTTACCCAAGATGCTTTGCATCTCTGAGTGTTCACATGTGAGGCAGCATGATTGGCTGACAGGCGACCCCCTGCACCGGCACCTTCAGTATACCCTCCTGTGCCTTCAGCCCGGGGCCTCTGCCTCTGGTCTCCTCTGCGTCTTCTGGTTGTGTGAGTTTGCTGGGAACACGAGCCTCTGCCCCAGAGAATGTGGAGAATTGTGTTGGAGACCCAAACTAGAACCCAGTCTCGGATGCGTTCATTGGCTAGCTCTTTCGCCTGAGCCATGCCTCCAGTGTGTGTGTGTGTGTGGTATTAGTGTTTGGCTTCTGCCTTGTGCTTGCTAGCTGCCTACAGAGCTTTTTGCTTTAGGTGCTTTTCTGATCAACGCATATTTTTTTGGCCTTGGCCTAAGTTTGGCTTTGGATTATATTCTACTCTGATCTGGGGATTTCTGCACAGATGGAATACAAGGCTCTGCCTACATGCTCACTTACCATGTTTTTTTTTTTTTTTTTGGTCAGTTGCGGGCCTGAACTCTGGGCCTGGGCGCTGTCCCTCAGCTCTTCAGCTCAAGGCCAGTGCTCTACCACTAGAGCCATAGCGCCACCTCCGGTTTTCTGGTGATTTGTTGGAGATCAGAATCTCAAGGACACCCAGGCTGGCTTTGAACCACGATCATTGGATCTCAGCCTCTTGAGTAGCTAGGATGACAGGGTGATCTACCGGTGCTTGGCTCAGCTCTTCCTTTTTACCCAAGCTGGCATTGAACCCCAATTCTCAGAGTCTCTGCCTCGCAAGCAGTTGGCCTTACAGTCATGAGTCACTGCATTGGCACCGTGAGCATCTGCAGAGCCAGGTGCTGGCGTCACCTGGCATGCAGAGGTCCTGGCCGGTGGCGAGTGACCGACGCTGGGGCTTAGCCCGAGCGGGCTTCCGTTCCAGCCATAACGATGCGTGTGCCATGTCCCCAGTTCACAGGCAGCGGGGCGTGTGAGATGAACAGTATCCCGAAGAGTGAGCAGGAGAAGAGCCTGGAGCACAGCAAAAAGCGCTCTCGGCCCTCGCTCCTCCGTCCGGTGTCGGCACCGGCCAAGGTAATGCAGCACCGTCGTCCCAGGCCGGCTTCTGCCTGCTGACCTGAGCCCTGCAGAGTGCCGGGCGCTGGGGCTGGGCTGCTTAGCCATCAATGCTTGTGGCTGGGTTGCTGGTCTATTCCCTCCCGGGTCACCGCTCTGCATTCATGGGGCTCTCATGTCCACTGCACCGGTGAGGAAATCGAGCACTCGCCCCCCTTCTCAGGGCCCCGCCATGGTGGCTTCTGAACCCATCATCTCCTGGGCGTTTGTTTTTTTTTTTTGGGTCCGGTCATGGGGTCTGAACTCTGGGCCTGGGCGCTGTCCCTCAGCTCTCAGCTCAAGGCTAGCGCTCTACCACTTGAGCCACAGCGCCACTTCCGGCTTTTTTCTTTTTGCTTATGTGGTGCTGAGGAATCAAACCCAGGGCCTCAAGCATGCAAGGCAAGCGCTCTACCACTGAGCCACCTTTCCAGCCCTGGGCATTTTTTTTTTGTTGTTGTTGTTGTTGTTTCTGGTGGTTCATTGGAGATAAGAGTTTCACAGACTTTACTACTTGGGCTGGCTTTGAACTGTGATCCTCATATCTCAGCCTCCAGAATAGCTAGGATGGCACATGTGAGCCACCAGTGCCTGGCTACTTGGCCGTTTCTTTTTTTTTTTTTCGGGCGTGGGGCTTGAACTCTGGGCCTGGGCGCTGTCCCTCAGCGCTTCAGGTCAAGGCTAGCGCTCTACCACTTGAGCCACAGCGCCACTTCTGGCTCTTTCTGCTTATATGGTGCTGACTTGAACCTCGTGCATGCTAGGCAAGTATCTACCACTGAGCCACCTTCCCAGCCCCTCCTTGGGCTTTTCTTAGTTGAGTTTGTAGTGTAGTAAATTTTCCTCTCCTTTCGTTATATGCGCCAGACTCAAAGTGCTGTCCCTAGCTGTGGGCGTTCAGCTGGATGCCCTTGCTGTCCCCGGCGTGCCGTGGGGGGCTTGGCAGGGCAGCGGTGCCCGCCAGGCCGAGGGCCGTGGCCATGCTCGGGTCTGCTGTCTGTCCGTCTTAGGTAGAGAAACCTTTGCAGAGCCATTGCAGGTGCTGCAGCCCTCCCGTGCCCTTCCCGCCTGTCCCCTTGTTGCTGGCTGGCTCAATAGACAGGACCCCTGGCCTGGCTGGGGTTGCTGTGGCCGTCACTCCTCCCCTACGTCCGGGATGGCGCCGCCCCCCAGGTTGACACGGGTCAGGAGGGCAGCGGGTAGCCCTGCCAGGACGGGCAGCAGGACTGAGCGGACCCCCGGGCCCCCAGCCCACCCCTGCTGCCCGCCCTAACCCTCCGCATGTCTCCACAGAAGAAGATGAAGCTCCGTGGAACCAAAGACCTGTCCCTCGCCGCCGTGGGCAAGTACGGCACGCTGCAGGAGTTCTCCTTCTTTGACAAGGTGGGCCCTTTGACCTGGGGGTGGGGCCAGAGCGGAGCAGGGGCGGAGCCTTGGAGGGCGGGGCCAGAGCTGAGAGAGGGGCGGGGCCATAGCGGGGCAGGGGTGGGACCGTGGAGGGTGGGTGGAGCCAGAGGGGAGCAGGGGGCGGAGCCCTGGTGGGTGGGGCTGAGGGGGCGGGGCTCAGCGCACACCCAGGGCCAGCCAGGGCGCTCTGGTAAGTGGCCGGGTCCTGACCCTGCCCCCTCTCCTCCACAGGTGCGCAGGGTTTTGAAGAGCCAGGAGGTGTACGAGAACTTTCTGCGCTGCATTGCCCTCTTCAATCAGGAGCTGGTGTCGGGCTCTGAGCTCCTGCAACTCGTTAGCCCGTTTCTAGGGTGAGTAGTCCTGTGTGGCCACCAGGTGCTCCGGATTCCGCGTGTGCACGTCCGCTCACTGCCTGGGTTAGTTTGTGGGTGACTTACCAGCTGCTTTAAATTGTTGCTGAGGTTACTACAGATGCACAAGCATTAGGAAGAAGTCACAGGCGGAAGGCTGGGGTACCCTGGACCCAACTCCTTCAGGTACCAGCTTTTTCTGGCCAAATTTAGACAAAGGTAGAAAAGCAAAATTTAAAAAAAGCAAAAAGCAACATCAGGGGGCTGGGAAGGAGGCTCCGTGGTAGAGCGCTTGCCTTGCATGCCTGAGGCCCTGGGTTCAATTCCCCAGCACCACATAAGCAAAAAGAAAAAAGCCAGAAGTGGTGCTGTGGCTCAAGTGGTAGAGTGCTAGCCTTGAGCTGAAGAGCTGAGGGACAGCGCCCAGGCCCAGAGTTCAGGCCCCACGACCTCGACCGGACCCAAAAAAAAAACAAAAACCCAAAATAAAAGGCAACATCAGGGAGTCTACAAGGAGGAGGCTCCGAGCCTCCGAGGGGGCCAAGCACCAAGGTGGGGGCCCGGCCAGCTGGCGGGTGGGGGGGGGCTCTGCTAGACCGGGCACAGCTGTGTGGTGTGAGGGTCGTTTACTTCCGCCCCAACGTCACAGAGCCATCAATGCCTGCGAAAGCCTGGGAAGAAGGTGCCAGAATTGGCTTGGGCTTGCATGAACCCCAGAACGGATTGGGGGTTGGAATGCCTCCTCCCAACACACGCTCAGAATGCTGAGTTTTCTTGGAATGGTCAATCAGTCCTGGCTTAAGGGGAACTCTGATTCCACCCTAAAACCTTGTTGGGAGCCCAAGGGTACACTTAGGTTTACACAAATTGTTTACCATTTAGCTCTCCTTCCCAGAATAAGAAGGTTGCCTACCACTTGTAGACAAAACATAGTCACCTGCTGAAGTTTGTACCTTATTTCCTTGCACAAGACCAATAAAAACCTTGCCAGCAGAGGGCTACAGGTCCCCTGGTACCCCAAATCTCAGTTGCATGGTACAGTCTCCGTTACTGTGTTGCTCCTGGTCACGGTGGATTAAGGACCACACAGTGGGTTGCAACAGGCTTGGGTGGGACAGACTCACTGACCGGAGGAGGGACGTCTCCACGCCTGCTTTCTCTGCTGGCCTTCCTGGCACTGAATTCCATTGAGGCCACTGTCACATTTCCAGATCATTCTTGTCCAAAGGCCTGTGGGACGCTAATGTATGATGTGTCTTTGAAGGAAATTTCCAGAACTCTTTGCACAGTTCAAGTCCTTCCTGGGGGTGAAAGAGCTGTCATTTGCACCACCCATGAGCGAGCGGTCTGGGGATGGAATCAGCCGAGAAATCGACTACGCGTCCTGCAAGCGCATTGGGTCCAGCTATCGGGCGCTCCCCAAAACCTACCAGCAGCCAAGGTGCAGCGGGAGGACGGCCATCTGCAAGGAGGTAACTCTCCCTATGGGGTCACAGGCCAGCTAGGCTGGGGACCCCGTCTTCCTCAGAAGATCCCCTGGGTCTCCTGTTACAGTAGAGACTGAGTGACAGACTCCATCAGAACAGTTGAGAGCATTGCGGCCCTGATCTTAGCTTCACCCTTGGACATTCAGATGAGTGTGCATTTCCAGAGTGCACCTGTGCCCACTGGATCCCAGGTTTACAGTCCCGGGTCAGCAACGTGCTATGAGACCCACGTGGCCCACTGCCTGTGTTTGTGAATTATTGTTTTGGTCGGTCATGGGGCTTGAACTCTGGGCCTGGGCGCTGTCCCTCAGCTCTTCAGCTCAGTAGGAGTGCTCTACCACTTTAACCACAGCGCCACTTCTGGTTTTCTGGTGGTTCCTTTGAGATCAGAATCTCATGAACTTTCCTGCCCGGGCTGGCTTTGAACCCGATCCTCAGATTTCAGCCTCCTGAAAAGCTGGTATGACAGGTGTGAGCCACCGGCGCCCGGCTACGTCAATAGTTGTATTGGCACACCACACAGCCACACGCGTGTGTGGATGCAGCCAGTGGCTACTTAGCACAAGGGCATTGCAGACAGAGCCACAGTCCATCAAAGTTAAAACACTCCTTCACGACTTCACCGGGCTCATGATGAAGTCAGGGTTTTTGTGTGTCCCATGATGCTTTGCACTGGCTCCTCCCTGAACAGGTGCTGAACGACACCTGGGTGTCCTTCCCCTCCTGGTCTGAAGACTCGACCTTTGTTAGCTCTAAGAAGACGCCCTACGAGGAGCAGCTGCATCGCTGTGAGGATGAGCGCTTCGAGGTGCGTGTGCCACCCCAGCCGCCTTTCTCTGTCCTCCCTACCCTCCTGCTGCTCATCTGCAGTGGGGGAGACCACGGAGACAGCTCATGGGTCATAGCGTTTGCCCCAGGAGGCCCCGCCCACTCCAGAGCCCCCCTCTTCCGTGTCCTGCTTCTCCTGGAGGCTCCGCCCCCAGGACCCCGCCCACTGCGGCATGCTGAGTCGAGCCTTGTGAGCTTGGGATGGGACATCAGGCAGTAGTAGAAGGTGTGTGTACCTGTGCACGTCTGTTCTTTGCACATGTGTGTCAGTCCTGTGAAGTCTCACCGTATCCCCCGTCAGGACCCTGAACAGCCCAGGTCCAGGGGAGGCTGCTGCACTCGCACACACACCCGGCACTCCGTCACCTCAGGACCTTGTGGACTGGTGCAGACGGCGTGCCCGCCAGCGCCGCCATGTCCCGGGCCGAGTGCTCACTCCTGCCCTTGAGTTACTGGGTGCTGCTGAGCTCTTGGGCCGTGGGACCATCCCTGTCCTCACATGGTGTACCTGTCACCAGTGTGTGGTCACCAGGACCACACCACCCCGCAGCCCGCCCCTCGCCTTGGCCCTCCTTGAACCCCACGTCTGGCCGCCAGCCTCTGCTGGAGCCGACCTCCTGCCTCCTTCCATAGTTAGACGTGGTCCTGGAGACCAACCTGGCCACCATCCGGGTGCTGGAGAGCGTGCAGAAGAAGCTGTCGCGGATGGCGCCTGAGGACCAGGAGAAGTTCCGGCTGGATGATGCTCTGGGCGGCACGTCGGAGGTGATCCAGCGGCGCGCCATCCACCGCATCTACGGGGACAAGGCCCCCGAGATCATCGAGAGCCTCAAGAAGAACCCGGTCACAGCCGTCCCCGTTGTCCTGAAGAGGTGTGCTGGCCCCGGGGAACCCCTCGCTCCATCTGTCCGCCCCCCACCCCCCCGCCCTTCTTTTGTGGCCCAGGCCGACCTAGAAATCATGATCCTTTGGCCTCAGCCACCTGCGTGCTGGCATTGTGACTGCATCCTTGGCTCCCCCCCAGCACCGGTTGGGGCAGGAGGGAGGGCAGGCTGCCCCTGGCACCCCCCACCCCGGCCCTGAGCCCCCCTCACCCCGCAGGCTGAAGGCCAAGGAGGAGGAGTGGCGGGAGGCCCAGCAGGGCTTCAACAAGATCTGGAGGGAGCAGTATGAGAAGGCGTACCTCAAGTCCCTGGACCACCAGGCTGTGAACTTCAAGCAGAACGACACCAAGGCCCTGCGCTCCAAGAGCCTGCTCAACGAGATCGAGAGTGTCTACGATGAGGTGAGGCCCAGGCTGCCCTGCTGGGTCTGGCCGCTGTTCCGGCCCTGCCCCCTGCGCGCCCTGCCCCCTGCGCGCCCTGCCCCCTGCGCGCCCTGCCCCCTGCGCGCCCTGCTCCCTGCCTCCATTGCAGCTGCAGAAGAGCGAGGCAAAGCACGCTGCTTCCTGCGCGCACTGCCCCCCATACCCCCCACAGCCCGGCCCCTGCCCCACTCACGCATCAGGAACCCACCAGTGGATCTGGGCAGGGGCTCTCGTCCAACCCCGCCCCGAGCCTGGGAAGGGGGTGCACACTTTGGGTGAGGGTGGGGCGGGTCCTGATCCTCTGCCTGCCCAGCACCAGGAGCAGCACTCGGAGGGGCGCAGCGCACCGGCCAGTGAGCCGCACCTCATCTTCGTGTATGAGGACCGGCAGGTGCTGGAGGACGCCGCAGCGCTGGTGGGCTACTATGTGAAGCGGCAGCCGGCCATCCAGAAGGAGGACCAGGCCACCATGCAGCAGCTGCTGCTCCGCTTCCTGCCCGGCCTCTTCTTCTCCCAGCACCCAGGGCCGGGGTCTGAGGAGCCGGGGCCCGAGCGCGAGGGGCCGGCGGGGCCCAGCGTAGAGCCGGCCGAGCTTGGGAAGCCCGTGGGGCCCGGGCCCGAGGAGGCGGCTCGGGACGATGTATACAGCCTGTTCTTTGCCAATAACAACTGGTACTTCTTCCTGCGCCTGCACCACACGCTGTGCGCGCGGCTGCTCAAGATCTACCGGCAGGCGCAGAAGCAGTTGCTGGAGTACCGGGCGGAGAAGGAGCGGGAGCAGCTGCTGTGCGCCGGCCGCAGGGAGAAGGGCGGCGACCCCGCCATGGAGCTGCGTCTCAAGCAGCCCAGTAAGACCCGCAGCCCAGAGGCAGCGTGCCCCAGCACCCCAGCGCTCCAGGGCTCCACACCAGCAGGACACCACACCTTGCCCCTCCTGGCATGCAGTAACCGTTTGCTCAGGTGCTGCCTTTCTTGAGCCCCAGGTTTAGGCAGACGCCGCATTCCCTGGTGACCATGGGTTCCTCCAGGGGCGGCTGTGTGGGTTGGCGAGGGCTGAGGGACGCACGCTGCCTTTCCCTGGCTTCCCTAGAGCCTGGGTGCCGTAGTGAATTAGAGGCCACCATTCCCTTTCCGGGCTGAGTCTTATTGCGCGGTGTAGGCGTGTGCGTGAGCGGACGCTGTCCCCTCCCAGGTGAGGTGGAGCTGGAGGAGTACTACCCCGCCTTCCTGGACATGGTGCGGAGCCTGCTGGAGGGGAGCATCGACCCTGCGCAGTATGAGGACGCCTTGCGGGAGATGTTCACCATTCACGCCTACATCGGCTTCACCATGGACAAGCTGGTGCAGAACATCGCGCGCCAGGTGAGCAGGCGGGGCTGCTGGCTAGCGGGGTGGGGGTGGGAGGCTGGCACACCCGGCCCTGGGGGTCCGTGTGGCAGGTCAGGCTGTGGTCTGGTCTGGTTTGGCTGTGGCATGGTAGTCTGGTGTGGTCTGGCGGGCTGTGGGCCCGACCTAGGTCCCCCTGTGTGGCCCGTCAGGACCCCAGGCTTCCCCCGCACCTAGCAGAACTGTCCTCACGGCTGGGGCCCTGGCCCCCAGAGGAGGTGGCAGCGTCCGGCCTGCTCTCCCTCTCCAGCTGCACCACCTGGTGAGCGACGACCTGTGCCTGAAGGTGGTGGAGCTCTACTTGAACGAGAAGAAGCGGGGCGCCGCTGGGGGCAACCTGTCCTCCCGCTGCGTGCGTGCGGCCCGGGAGACCAGCTACCAATGGAAGGCCGAGCGCTGCATGGCGGATGAGAACTGCTTCAAGGTGAGCCGGGCCAGCCCCAGCCCCCGTCCTGTCTCCAGGCCCAGGCCCTGGCCCTCCAACAGGCCCCGCCCAGAGCCCCTGCTGGAGCCCCGCCCCCTCACGGTGACCGCCCCTGCTGGCCCTGCCCACAGACCACGCTCTCGGGCCCCGCCCACATCCAGCCCCGCCCCGCCGCAGGCCACGCCCCGAGGGGCCCACGCCTGGTCCCACCCCAGTCCTTCCTGGGTCACGCCCACGCCCGGCCCCGCCCCTCCCCAGGTGATGTTCCTGCAGCGCAAAGGACAGGTGATCATGACCATCGAGCTCCTGGACACGGAGGAGGCCCAGACGGAGGACCCCGTGGAGGTGCAGGTGAGGGCACCAGCTCTGGCTCCAGGGAGCTCCGGGCCGGGTGGGGGTGGGGGTGCTTTGGCCCGTACCCCAAGGGCTGAGGGCTCGGCTCACAGGCGCTGCGGCCTGGGCCGTGGGGTGGCGGCAAGGCTCAGGGCAAGGAGGTGGAGGGGGGCCCTGCTGGGCCCCGGAGGCCTCCCCCTCCCCAGGCCCCGCTCCCGGATCTCAGCCCGGCCCAGCG